ACAGAGAGAATGAGATACAGAGAGCATGAGAGGGAGGAGGGTCAGAGGGAGAAGCAGACTCCCTGCCGAGCAGGGAGCCCGATGCAGGACTCGATCCCGGGACTCCAGGATCATGACCTGAGCCGAAGGCAGTCGCTTAACCGACTGAGCCACCCAGGCGCCCGATTCTGGTTATATTTTGAAAGAACAGTCAATGGGATTTGCTGAGCATGCAGGGCCTAAAGGACATCTTGGGGACATTGCCACAGACAGGTGGGTATTTCCATCTGGACCCTCCACTGCAGCCCAGGTCTGCCCCTCACACCAGACTCAGAAGCCCTCTTTTCCTAAAAAGGATCATATATGTTATGGTCATTCTGCTAGTCGGTTGGTACCTAACCTTACTGGGTCATAAATCCAACAAACTATGAACAGTCTGAACCCTCTTTAGAAAAATGCACAGAAAATTATTTGTAAGCAGTTCCAAGGGGCACCAGGGTGGCTCAGCTGGTTAAGCGACTGCCTTCGGCTCAGGTCATGATCCTGGAGTCCTGCTCAGGGGGGGAGCCTGCTTCTCCCTCTCCCTCTGCCTCTCCCCCTGCTTGGGCTTGCTCTCGCTCTCTCTCTCTGTCAAATAAATAAATTTTAAACAATCTTTATAAGCAGTTCTGGGGCAATCATGGATACAGACAATGAAAGACACAGTATTTGGTCTACTGCACTCAATCAAAAAAATATTCAGGGTAGCGGAATTGTTGAGAGTAAACCAATTTCAAGGTGGCATACGAAGACCCTGAGCCTCCCCAGGTCATCCCCCTGTCTTGTTTCCAGAGTCCCCATTTCTCCACTGCCAGTCAATGGTGGAAAATATGCAGTCAAGAGCGGCACAGTGAGTCAGGTACAAAATTTCCCATAACCGGGAGGCTGCCCCGAGTACCGTGAGGATCGGGGCCCTAAGGCTAGAGCCGAAAAGAGGCTTAAGGCAGAGTGAGCCTTCGAGCCAGGGTCTGCCACCCACTGATGCTCCCCCAGGGGTGGGGGCATGGGAATGGCACCCAGGCAGCTTGACGCCTGGGCCCTGGCCAGCCACAAAGCTTTGAGGTCAGGAAATCCGGAGGCAGAGGAGAGGGACACCGTTGCCACACTGCCTGGCCCCTTTGAGACCCCCGAGGCAGGAAGGCTGCCTGGCCTCACCAGCTTCCCTCCCAGCCTCCTTCCTGGGAGGAAGGGGCTGCCCTGTGCTTCAGTGGTTGACTGACAGTGCAAGGGAGGGAAGGAGGCCGGGAAGGTGTTGCAATCGGCAGCCCCTGGGCCTGTCAGAGACCGAGCCATTAACGACAGGGCTGGGGAGAGAAGCTGGACCGCGGCTGTTTTCAGGAACTTGCCCTCAAGAGGAGAGCAGAGACCAGGGAGGCCAGGCGGGTGCCCGCTGCAGACTCCAGCGTGAGTAGGGGATCCGCAGGGAGGGCTGTACCTTGGGCCTGGCGGGACCCTGGAGTCCCGGGTCCACTCCCCCCAGCTCTGCCAAGTGCCCATGCGCAGGCCTTTAGCGTTGGTCCCTGGGAACCAGGAGCCCCGAACACGGAGTCTCTTTTACCAAGGCTGCCCCCACTTTTTTTGGGGGGGTGTGCATTGGGGAGGTCACAAACCACTGAATATCTCTTTGAGGACACGGAGCTGGGCTCAGGGAAGGGCATGATCACCATCCCTCTCCACGTCCCCGTCTCAGACCCTATGTTTCAGCCTGTCCCTGTCTCCCCTGTTTCTGTCTTGCCTCCCCAGCCCCTCCCTGGCCTATCTGGGCTCCGGGTCTCTGTCTGTCCATGTGTCTCGGAGTCTTTCTGTGCCTTTCCCTGTGTCTCACATTTCCCTCTCTCGAATCTTAAACTCTCCTGGGGACCTCTTGCTTCTCGGCCTTGAGCACCTGGGTCAGCGTCCTTGTCCCCCGGGGGCTCCTTCTCTCTGCGCCTGTCCTGCCCAGGCTTCCCTGCCTGCATGCCCGTTCCACATTCTCACTCCTTCTGCAGAGCTGCCTCCCTCTTTCTCGGCACCACATCTGGGAGGGCCTCTCCCTCTGTTCAGTCCCAGCCCCCTCCTCCCACAGGAAGAATCTCCCTGAAGGAGACGAGACACAACAGGGCAGAGAGGGTGTGAGCCGGGGCAGCGAGAGCAGGCGAGAAGGCTGAGTGCAGGGAAAGGAGAAGAGAGCAGGAAAAGGTGGGCGATGGCAGTGCCTCCAGGAGGCAGTGGGTTCTGCTGAGACTGATCGGGGAGAACCGAAATGAAGGGGAGACTGGGGGGCCAAGGAGCTACAAGGAGGGGACCCAGAAACGGGGCTTTGAAACCATGCAGCGCGACACAGACGAAAGCAAGGTGGCAGTCCTAGGAGGCTGTGACCACACGGCCTGCAAGGGGGAGAGGAGGCCACATGCTGGGTTCCATGACACGGTGTCCCACTTCAAGGCGCATGAGAACAACTTACGGTCACCAAGTGCGCTTTTATCCCAGCCCATCTTGGTGCCTCCTCACTACCACCCTGAGAAGCGCATGCTAATGTTTTCCCTCTTTCACAGATGGGGAAACCGAGGTTCAGAAAGGTGAAGTAACTTGTCCAATGTCACAAAGCTGGTAAGTTGCAGAGCCGGGGTTCAGAGCAGGTGGTCTGGCTCAGAGCTGGGCTCCCACCCTCTCCACATACTGGCCCTCAGAGAGTGAGACCATGCTCCAACAGGTCCCCGATCACACTCAATGGGGATGGGGGACACCCCGGGGTGCTGTAGGGGACCAGGGACTGATGCCAAACATGCCAACACTCAGCAACCCAGGGGTAGGATGCTGGGGCCTCTCAGAGTAGGGTTTGGTTGCCCATTCTGGACAGGAGCCAGAGGAGAGGAATGAAGTAGTACTTTGCTGGGCATAGACTAGGCCTGATGCTGACCCTCACGGGGGCAGCAGGGTTGGAATATGATCAAAAGCACATGGAAATGGAAACCACTGTCCCAAAGTCTGGGCCTAGGAGGCTAAATTTTCCCCAACAAGTGTGCATGGGGGATAACCAAACTACTATGCTGTAGTAAGAAAGTTGCCAACCACTGATTGGTAGACGGGGATGCTCTGAACAGTTGTGCAGGTTTCTCACTGCACTAAGCTGCCCAACTGAAGAGCAACAAGAGGCTGAAATTGGGCGCCTGGGTGGCTCAGTCGTTAAGCGTCTGCCTTCGGCTCAGGTCATGATCCCAGAGTCCTGGGATCGAGTCCCACATCGGGCTCCCTGCTTGGCGGGAAGCCTGCTTCTCCCTCTCCCACTCCCCCTGCTTGTGTTCCTGCTCTCGCTATCTCTCTGTCAAATAAATAAACAAATCTTTAAAAAAAAGAGGAGGCTGAAATTCAGCCTATTCTTCAGTTGCCAGGTCTTAGTGTGGGGCTACATCTGTCCAGAGGAAGGGGCACTTTTTTCCTGATTTGCAAAAAAAGTGACTTATGGGCTAGCAGTCTCCTGGCATCCTGATATGGAAATGTACATGAATAGCCCAGGGGTTGGGGTAAGGCCCCCCGTGAGAAGGAACAGCCTTGGGTATCTTGGGCAGCTCTTATTCACACCTCTGTCTGGGAGGGAGAGAAAAGGGAGAGAAGCTTTCCTGCCTCTAAGCACAGGGGATCTGCTGGGACACCACCTACGTGCATGTATGTGTTCCTGTATATACACGCAGGCTAGTCAGTGATTTCCACTGACCTGTTGCCAAGAGTGCCAATTGGTGCTGGAGAATCAGATGCCTGGTCCCAAGACCCCCATGGGAGCAGAATGGAGGGTGAGGCTAGACGCCCACCCCAGTGGGAGAATACTTTTGCATAGTTCCTGAGACAGGAACTAATGCTCCCAACATCCAGACACTGTCGCCATGACTACAGGGCACCTGGCACCTGGCCCCAGAAAACCTCCAGAGCTCTGCGCCCAGACCCTTCTGACATGGGTCATCCAGGAGCACCTGCCTCATACTCATGCGTGTGCAACCTGGATGCGCCAGGAAGTTAATACCCCAAAGAACATCCCTTGACCGATGGGGGACAGAAGTCAGTAGGTAAATGTTCCCATCCTCCCTCCTGTTCAAGGGATAAATTTTCCCTGGAGTGGATAGTCCTGAGGCGTGTTCTACACGGCTCCTTGGAAGGTTCCAGCAGGATGGAGCCCCTGTCGTCCATAGAGATGACCCCAATTCCATGATGTACCCTTGTGCTGGCTTTCCCTCCTTACCCGTTTCATTCTCCCCAACTCCTCCCTCTGTTCCTGGGATCTTTCCAAAATAAACTACCTGCATGCAAGCCCAGCTAAGATAAAAGGGAAGTGGGGAGAATGCTGTTCCTTGATGTTCCTGTCCCTGCTCTCTCCTGGAAGGCAAATATAATAACAACAGGGGCTGTCACTTAGACAGTCATTTCCTATGTGCCTTGCATCATTTCGTGTCTTCTTCCCAAAGTCCGGTGCAGTATAAAATTTGTCCATTTTGTGGACAAAGAAACCGAGGCTCAGAGAGGTCAAGTTGCCTGGCCAAAGCCACACTGTGGCAGAGCAAGGGTTAAGCTCAGCTCTGACTCCAAAGCCCATGACCTTCACCATCCCCCTCTGCCTCCAGGTGAACACCAAACTGGCGCTATGGCAGGGCCGGGAACCTGGAGCCTGCCCGTGGCCACCGTGATTATCCTGCTGCTCCCCAGAAGTGAGTACGGCCCGGACAGGGGTGCGGTGAGGAGAGGGGAGTCACAGAGATACAGCGGGTAGAGGAGGGAATCATTTGCCTGCACCGCCATACTGCTCCTGGGGTTCCCAGAGACTCAAGGCTGGGCCCACAATGTGGGGTAGCCAGGCCCCCACCCACAGACCTCTGCGGGCAAACCACCACCCATGCGGAATGGCCAGAGGGCCCGGGCTGGTCAGCCTGGAAAAGGCCAGGGGACCCAGGTCTTGTCTGCAAATCTCTGCCAGGCTCGTCAGAAGGAAGCTCTGGGTCCTCTGAAGCCTTCACGGGCAACAAAGGAATCAGGGTGGAAGCCACAAGAAGGCAGGTTTCCTCCTGGAATAAGGAAGCCCAGGCAGAGCTCTCCAACTATGGAAACTATCTTGAGAGGTGGAGAGCTTCCCATCTCTGGTGGTATGCAAGCTGAGGGCAGGACTGACAGGGATGCTGCATAGCAAGGGTCAGCAAACATTGTTTGATAGTCATATTTAGGCTTTGCAGGCCACACACAGTTTCTGTTGCATGTTCTCATCTGTTTTCTGTTTTGTTTTCTCCCTTTAAAAATGTAAAACCCATTCTTAGCTGGCAGGCCATACAAAAACAGGCCATCCTAGCCCTGCTGAAGAGGATGCAATGTTAGGTGGAGTTCTGAAGTAAACAGTTTTGCGAGGTTCCTTCTAGTCTGAAATTCTGAGTCAGTGAAGCGATAGGAGCCTCATGTTGAAAATCATGAACTTGCTCTGTGATCCCGGGCAAATTCCTTCTCCTCTTAGGGCCTCAGCATCTTCATCAGCAAAACAGGCCTCAGACCACATGACAGAGGAAAGAAGGCCTGGTGGGCAAAGTGCAGTGCTTCCTTATTTGTTTATGCAATAAATATTCACCAAGGGCCTATTCTGTGCTAAGCTCTGGGAATACAGTAATGAGACCAACAGCCAAGGTCTCTGGCCTCACGGAACCTCTGGCCTAACTGGGGAGACAGACAAGCAACTAATCACATGACTCTACAATTATGAAGGAGAATAAAAGCTTTGGGAAAGTTCAGGGCACTTGGCCTGGTCTGGTTGATCAGGGCCTGGTCTGGTTCCCCCAAGATGCTAAATGTTAATCAGGTGAGCAACATGAAGGTGGGAACTATTTTTCATCCCCATTCTACAGATGAGAAAAATCGAGGCACAGAAAGCCTCAGTAACCTACCAGGGTCATATAATTAATAAGCAGTAGAACAGGCTCTAACCCCATCCGTGCTCTTATCCAGCACACCACTGAAGTGCGGGAGGGCTGTGGTCCAGATGGGGTAACACAATCAGATTTGGATTCTGAGAGCTGTGTGGCTGTGGGGTTCTTATTCCAATCATTGCTTTCACCACCTCTGGGGAGGGTGCTGCGGAGAGGCCGAGTCTCTGCCTCGTGGCGTGCTGCTGCCGGCTTGCGAGACCTAAGCGTGCACATTTCCTCCCATGTTCACGTTCAGCGATGTCACACTGATAGCTTGAAAATCAGTCTTGGTGGGAATATTTATACCAGAGAAAGCAGCTTATACTACCAATCAGGATCTGGTTTTCTCATAGAGCCAGTTGATAAACACTGACACATCACTAGCTCTCTCTCACTTCCGAGAGCCCCTCACCATCCCCATAGGCATTCACCCCATTCCAGCCCCCATATCTTAGGGGGTGAGGCGAGGAGGTAAGGGCCTTGAGTCTAGGAGTACAAAGGCCTAGGTTTATAGCTCAGCTCTGCCAGGCAAAGGAGGGACTCATGGCCCATTCTCCTCGACCCCAGGCCTGGAGGAGTGTGGGCGCATCAGCCTCCCAACCCCCACTGTCCACCTGGGGGACCCCATCACGGCCTCCTGCATCATCAGCCCGAACTGCAGCCACCTGGACCCCGAGTCACAGATTCTGTGGAAATTGGGAACAGAGCTTCAACCCGGAAAGAGGCAGCGGCGTCTGGCGGATGGAAGGCAGGAATCCACCATTACCGTGCCCCGCCTCGACAGCCCATGGGTCCTTCTCTCCTGCTGCCTGCGCTGGGGCAACAGCCTGCAGATCCTGGACCAGGCTGAGGTGCAGGCAGGCTGTAAGTGCCTGCAGCCATCCACCCACTCTGCCTCCAGGCCCTCCTGCCATCACTCATAACAGCTATTATTATTTACTGAGCTCTTGCTCAATAAGCACGTTATGGGCATGGCATCAGATAATCTTCCCTACCATTGGATAGTGCTGCTTAGCCCCATTTTGCAGACGAGGAAACTGAGGCTCAGGGAAAGTAAGTGATTTGGTGAAGGTTACAAACTGAGGATGTAGCTGAGATTTCTATCAGGCAGTGTGGCTCCAAAGTCGGTGGAGTAACCACCCCTCCATGTGGCTGGCAAGTAAGCCCAAATACCCAGCCACTGGACAGTGTGCCCACGAGGACACTTGACCAGCTGGGCCTGCTCCTCGTTTCTCCCCATCGCGGTCTCAGCCTTCTAATCAAACCGAGAAGCGAGGACTTTCTGCCAGGCCAATGCATAAGAAAAACACTAAGACCAGTTTCTTTGTTAAGAGTCACTCATAGTACTGCTAACACTTACATAGCACTTACCACGTGCCAGGCATGGCTCTGAGCACTGCGTAAATAGTAAGTCATTCAGCCCCCACAACCCCAAGGGGTAAGCATATTACCATCACCCCCGTTTCACAGATGAAGAAACTGAGGCACGGGGCCGTTAAGTGACTTCCAGATCGCAACGGCTAATGAACGGCAGAAGCATGATGAAAAGCGAGGTCTACGCTATCCCTGTCCAAGGGGGCAGAGCTGAGGGGGTGGGAGGCTCTGTGGCGCTTGCCCCTGTCCTGGCCGGCATTTGACTTTCCCCAGGGCTGCCCCTCCAGGGTCACCTGATAGGCAGAGAGCGAATAAACAAGGTGACCCCAGAGGGTCTGGGGACAACCCAGAGCAAGGAAAGAAAGCTGACTGGTTCCAGTTGGAGCTTTCTGAATGGTCCTACCCAAAGCCCTCACTCTCCCCCCGCCATGTGCAGACCCTCCCGCCGCACCCCACAATCTGTCCTGCCTCATGAACCTCACAACCAACAGCCTCATCTGTCAGTGGGAGCCAGGACCCAACAACCACCTGCCCACCAACTTCACCCTCAAGAGCTTCAAGTAAGTAAGGGTCTCTACACTAGCCCCCGGTTCATTTGGGTCCTCGGGTGGGACGTGGGCGGGACTGTGGGATGGGGGAACCAGAGGCAAACACGGGAGGGAGAAGGGAGGCTCGCTTTCTTCTTCTGCTAGACACCCAAGCCTGGCCTCTTGGCAGGAGCCGGGGCAACTGTCAGACCCAAGAGGACGCTATCCCCGACTGCGTGCCTAACAACGGCCAGAACCACTGCTCCATCCCACGCAGACACCTGCAGCTGTACCAGAGCATGGGCATCTGGGTGCAGGCCGAGAACGCGCTAGGGACCAGCAAGTCCCCACAGTTGTGCCTCGTTCCCATGGATGTCGGTGGGTGACGCTGGGTACGGGGGAAGGGAGAGGCCCCCACAATGGGCCAACCCAGAGAGGCACAGAGAAGAAATCACAGACCCAGACACAGACAAGGAGACATCAGAAGACCTAGAGACAGAGGCAGACAAGAGAGACAGAGACAAACTGGAATGCAGGTGGGGACGGAGCTATGGAGACGCAGACACACAGACACGAAAGAAACACAGAGGCAAGGAGACACGTTCATTAATTCTTTCAGCAAGTTTCTTAAAGCGCCCACTAATTACTAGGCATTGCTCTAGACGCTGGACATACAGCACTGAACGAAATGTCAAAACTCCTGTCCTTGGAACGTTACATTCTAGGGGGCAAACTAAATAAAATGGAATGTCAGGCGACAAGACGTGTGACGGGGAAGTTAAAACAGGGAAGGGGTTAGGGAAAGCTGGGGGTGGGGGACAATTGCCCTTTCAGTAAGGTGGTCAGGGGTGGCCTCACTGAGAAGGTAACATCTGAGAAGATCCTTGAAGGAAATGAGGGAGCAGGCCACTGGATATCGGGAGGAGAAGAACTCCAGGCAGAGAGAACAGTAAGTGCAAAGGCCCTGGGGCAAGAGGATGAAACAGACCTAGAGGGAGACAGACACATATACAGAGACAGACCTGGAGACAGAGAGACAGAGAAAGAGAGAGACCGACGGACAGAGACCCCAGGGATGGAGACCCAGGGCCGAAAATGGAGCAACAGGTAAAGAGAAAAGCAGGAGTAAAGCAGACCCCCTACAGGATGGAGCAGGGGACGTTTCTGACAAGCCCCTCTCCTTGCAGTGAAGCTGGAGCCCCCCACACTGTGGGCCCTGGCCCCCAGTCCTGAGGTGGCCGCACCCCAGCCAGGTTGTCTGCTGTTCCACTGGGAGCCATGGAAGCCAAGCCTGTACATAGAACAGAAATGTGAGCTGCGCCACCAGCCACAGCTTGCAGAAGCCAGCTGGGCCCTGGTGAGGCGGAGGGCAACCTCGAGAGCCTGGCATGGGGGTGGCTGAGGGGAGGGTGGCTGAGCTGGCCCTGAAGGACACAGGATCCAGGCTCAGAGCCACGGCCGCCCCACCAGGTGGGCCCCCTGCTCTCCCAGACCCTCCAGTATGAGCTCTGCGGGCTCCTCCCATCCACAGCCTACGTCCTGCAGATGCGCTGCACCCGCTGGCCCCTGCCTGGTCAGTGGAGCGACTGGAGCCCTAGCCTGACGCTGGCCACCGCGCAACGGGGTAAGTGGGTGGTGAGGGGCTGGGAGCAGCTATCAGGGTAAAGGCCAGCCTCCAAGGCCCTCCCCAACCCTCTTGCTCCCTCCACAGCCCCCATCGTCAGACTGGACACATGGTGGCGGCAGAGACAGCTGGACCCCAGGACAGCAGACGTGCAGCTGTTCTGGAAGGTGACCCATTCTGACATCCCTCCTCCCCTGAGACTCCTTCCAACCCAGACAGATCCCTGTGGGCTGGGGCTCCGGACGAACAGGGGCACAGGGTAAACAGGGGAAGAAGGAAGGGAGGGAAGAAGGCTGGCTCTCAGCCTGTGGGGCTCCATTCCTATGACCCATCCACCCCATCTAGAAGCGCCCCCCCCACTCAAGATGACCTGTGCAGCCCCCTTATCTTCTTCTTCCTGTGCCCACTGCAGCCAATGCCCTTGGACAAGTACAGCGGGCAGATCCAAGGCTACCTGGTCAGAGTTCCAGACCAGGCTAAGGCTGTTCCCCCCCTCTGCAACACCACGGAGCTAAGCTGCACCTTCCACTTGTCCTCGGAAACCCGGGAGGTGGTCCTTGTGGCCTATAACACAGCCGGGACCTCTCATCCCACCCCAGTGGTCTTCCTGGAGAGCAGAGGTAAAGGGGGCTGGCAGCTCATAGAGCGTTGTGGTTAAGCACATAAATTCAGAAGCTAGACTGCCTGGGTTCACATCTAGTCCTGTCACTTGCTAACAGCGTGACCGGGGCAAGTGACCTAACCTCCCTGGTGTCTGTTTACTCACCTAGCAAAGGGGGATGATACAGTGCCTACCTCAAAGCATTGTTATGAAGGTTACATGCGTTCAAACATGTGCCTGGCACCAAGTTACTGCTCAATATGTGTTAGCTACTATTATTATCACAAGCCAGAACCAAGTTAAGCTGGTGGTGGTAACACACACACACACACACACACACACTCACTCACGAGTGCAGACGCTCATAGACATACACTCCCATAAGCACGCACACAGAGTCGATTCTGCCAAGGAAAATGGGAAGAAAGCCCTGAATTTTTCCAGCTGAAACACGGTCCCTGAGTTAATTGCTCATTCTCAGGGGATCAGCCACCACCATCACCCCCAGGTTCCCCCGAGCATGGGTCTTCACCAGGTGAGACTAGCGATAAGAGTGAATATTCCAACTTATTAGCCGTGTGACCTTAGACAAGTTACTTAACCTGTCTCAGTTTTCTCCTCGATAAAATGGGGCCAGGGTGGCGGCTCCCCCACAGGACTCCTGGTGGACTCAGGACATTAACACGCACCAAGGACCACAGTGATACATACCACGAATTACACCGCATTAGCATTGATCACCGTCAGGCACTCCTTGGCACGGGGCACTGTGCTAGGCTCATCCTATGCATCATCTCATGTGATCGGCACCAGAACCCTTGCACATGAGCAAAATGAGGTCCTGGGGTTGATTGACTCAAGGTCACCCAGCTTGTAAGTAACAAAGCCAGGACTGGAACCTAGACTTTGCGCTTTGTTCTCTCACCTCCTACTCTGTCTCCAGGCCCGCCCCTGGCCAGACTCCACACCTTGGCTCGAGATCCCCACAGCCTCTGGGTGGGCTGGGAGCCCCCCAGCCCTCGGCCTCGGGGCTATGTGATTGAGTGGGGCCTGGGGCCCCCCAGCCCCAGTGGCAGCAATAAGAGCTGGAAGATGGAGCATAACGGAAGCATTTCTGGGACCCTGCTGCAGGGTGAGGAGCAGGGTGAGGCGGGCCCAGGG